AGAGATAAGCATGGAATTCTGGGAGAGGATGTCTCTGTCCTTAAGCAGCTTTGGAGAGGGGGTCAGCAACAGGCAGGTGGGGAGAAGCACAGGCTTCCATCGAGAGACTGAGAAACCATCTCCTGACTTACTGGTAAGTCCAGTCCTCTGCGGACTCATGCCAGGGAGGGAACCAGAACACTGCTGCCTGCCTCATTCTCAGTCTGAGTTGGGTGTCAATGAGCAGGATGATGTTTGATAGCAGAAATTAGGGGAAGTCAGCATAAATGGTTCCTTGGGTCTGTTGTGAGATAGATTCTCATTTAAAAGGAGTAATAACACCACATAGCTGAATTGTTTAAGCTTTGTCTTAAGGAAGGGCAGACTGACAGGAAGGAAAAAACCTCTAGAAAACAAGATGATGCCTTTGGATTAAGCCATATTTCTTTAGGCCATTATTTATAGGTATGATATAATAAATATGGTAACATGTGTCAATGGTATGGCTATGTTCAGTTTTGTTCACTGACTTTTGTGACTTTGTTAAAAAAATATTTGTAAAGAATTAACTCACTGGGGCCGGGGATTTAGCTTAGTGGTTTTACCGCCTGCTGCGCAAGCCCAAGAACCGGAGTTCGATCCCTGGTACCAAAAAAAAAAAAAAAAAAAAAAGAATTAACTCACTGAGTGGAGTGTAATGGTCTCTGAAAGAGGAGGGTCATACTGGCTGCTGACTTTTCAAGGTCTGTGTTAGAAACTACTGGCTGCTGACTTTTCAAGGTCTATGTTAGAGACTACTGAGGCTATGAAAGTCTGTGCATGCAGCAGGTTTGGTTTGGGGGGAGTGGAAGGGTGTGTCCAGCCTGGGATATGGCCTGAGGGGCCTCTGCAGTTGGGAGGGGCTGGGAAGCCACTGAAGAATTTTAGGGTTGGGGAGAGATCTAGAGAAACCCTGAGTTTAAAGCATCATTATCTCCCTAAGAAGATTCTCCTACTCCTTCCTCCCTGTGAGCTGCAGCAGCTGGTGGCAGGGGACATTGTCCTCTTGCACTCTGTCCCTCTGATGTCCCCCTGCTTGCAGTGGCACCCAGGAGCAGCCTGACAGTTGTGCTTTAGTCCCCAGTGCACCCCATCTCCTGTAGCTCTCCTCAAATCCCCAAATCTGTCCTGTCCTCACTGTGAACTTTTGGTTAATTCCTCTTTTCTTTTTTTGTTCTGGGGAATTGAACCCAGAGCCTTTGAACTGAGCTACATCCCCAGTCCATTTTTGTAATTTTGAGACAGAGTGTCTCCAAGTCTCTAATTTGCCCAGGCTGGGCTTAAACTTGTGATCCTCCTGCCTCAGCCTCCCAGAGGGCTGGGATTACAGAGGTATGTCCACACACCCAGCTACTTTGGTTAATTTCCTACTCCACTGAGGAAGCCATCAGCCCAGAGCCCCAGCAACCTACCCACTTAGCGAGTGCACCGATCTGATACCTGCCATCTTGGCCAAACCAGAACGTCTAGCTGGGCACCGACTCCATTGCTCCATTACTCAGCAAAATTTCCCCTTGTGCACTTTTTTTTTCTTCCTCTTGATCATTTTCTGATCATACAAACGTATGTTATTTTTGCCATTAAAAATAAAATGACGGGCTGGGGATCTAGATTAGTGGTTCCACTGCCTGCCTTGCAAGGGCAAGGACCAGAGTTCAATCCCTGGTACCAAACCAAACCAAACCAAAAAAATGACCCCACTTCCCATCATCCCTGTCCATTTTTGCCATTTGCCTTAAATCTCATTGACAGCACTCCCTGTTCCCAGTTACTGTCTGGTTTCCTTTTTCCACCTTTTTTTTTTTTTTTTTAACTTTCATTTTGAAATTTTAAGAGAGGATCTTTTAGTTACCCAGGTCGAAACATGAATTTGCGATTTTTTTTCTCCTGCCTCAGCCTGAGTAGCTGAGAATCTCTAGTGCCACCAGGGCAGGCTTATTTTTGTTTTTCACTATGATAAACATGCATACCTGGTATAACTTATCGATATTTATGTGGGTGAAGGAGATCTAGCTGTGGTGAAAATACGGTGAATCCTGGCAGTTGCCCTCTTTTGCAGGGCGGAGTGGGGGCCGGGGGCGGTGTACAGGAAAGAATAGTGAAGCAGCTCACGCTTGGGTCACTGCACCGTTCCCGGCTTTACAGAAACAGAGCTGTGTGCAGTCAGGGCTGGAAGTGCAGGGCTGG